GCACCTTAGCCACTTGAGCCACAGGCGCCGAGCCAGGGGGTCTCACTCTTGCTCAGGCTGGTCTCAAACCTGTGAGCTCAGGCAATCCACATGCCTCGGCCTCCCAGAGTGCTAGGATTACAGGCATGAGCCACCACACCCAGCCTGAATTTTTCTTTTTTTTTTTGAGATAGAGTCTCACTCTGTTGCCCAGGCTAGAGTGCCATGATGTCAGCCTAGCTCACAGCAACCTCAAGTTCCTGGGTTCAAGCTATCCTCCTGCTTCAGCCTCCAGAGTAGTTGGGACTACAGGCATCTGCCACAATGCCTGGCTAGTTTTTCTTTTTTTAATAGAGATGGGGTCTCGCTCTTGCTCAGGCTGGTCTTGAACTCCTTGGCCTCCCAGAGTGCTAGGATTACAGGTGTGAGACACCCCGCTTGGCCCATTTGGTTCAATTTTGACCTGTGTTCTCTGATCTGGTGCTGCTTGGACATTGGGCCCTGTAACCACAACCCCTTCACTGGCCCCAGGGCAAAGGTAGAAAAACGGAGGTTCCAGACTCCTAGGCAAAAGGACAGGGATTCCGGACAGTGTACAGACTGAAGGCAGGACTTCCTACTTTTGAGGGACTGTCTCTCCACTATACCTGTGTACACGTGCCTGGGAAAGCTTATCATCAGACTCACAGTGGTATACTGGGACTTACAGACAAGAGATGGACAGCCTTGGGCTTATGTGCAGCACTTGAGATCATTTCATATACAGTCGGTCCCATTTAGGAAGAAATAAAGGGCTGCTGTCCTCAAAGTAGGACACTGCAAAACAAAGAAGCTTTCAAGACAGTCCCTGTAAGGGGGCACTCCTCTTTCACACTGTGGTCAGATGCCTGGACCAGAAGTGGGCCTAGTCAGTGGCTGAGGGAGAACTAGAGGGTGAAGAATGGCCTGAACCTTGCTAGAAGCCCCTCTCAGATGTTACTGCACTACCAGGAGTCCTCAGAGAGGATGTTAGATGACCCTTAATTCAGTTTTAGTCAATCTCCAGGATGTCCTCCCTGGGACTACATCCAAGGGCTCCTCTGTTCTCAGACTCATGCACAATAACAGATAGGTTTGAGCAGTCCCCGAAGCCACCACCTCCACCTCCAGGCAGCCCTCCCTGGTACCTAATGTGCTCCGCCCTTAGACTTTGGGGCGGAATGGGGTCTCGGGGGTCAAGGGTCAGTAGGGAGGGCTGGATCCCGGAAGCGGAAGCATGGCGCATTTCCGGCGCGCAGCGGGCGGCCATGTTGGAGCAGCTGAGGCGGCGCAGAGGCGCGTCTTGGGTCCCCGCGGCGGCGCCGGTAGGTTGGAGCCGCGGGCCTAGCCGCGCCGCGGAGGGGCGGCCCGCGAGGCGGCAGGGTGGACGGGCCCGCGGCCGACTCTTCGCGGACCTGCGTCGTCCGCCGGCTTGGCTGAGACCCTACCCCCACCCCCACCCCACACCTAGTGACTCCACCCTGGGGCTGCGCGGTCCTGGTCTGGCTAGCTCTGCTCGTCCCGCACATTTTGCTGCCGCCGTGATCCCTGCCTCCCCTCCGCGACCTGGGCCCTAGAGACGCGGACTCCCAGCCTGAGGCCCCGATCCGCCCCCGCCCCTGGTACGCCTGGATGGCGCCTCTCCCGCCCCCACCTTCCGTCAACATCCCCTGTCTGCTCCGGGGGCACGTGTGAAGGGGAAGTTGGGGACCTGGCAGCAGTCTCTGTTTACGAAGTTTCTTGAAAGCCCAGAAGATTTTTCCCGAGGGGATGACCCAAGCTGGGCGGAAGAGCCTCAGGTTACCCCCAGTGTCTACTGGAGGGTGTGGAGGTTCAGGGGGGAAATAGATCCTTCCCTGTTTATTATACAGTTGACTGCCCTGGGAACCATACCCTCCAGATAAAAAAATTAATAAAAGAACTAAAGTCATGTGCAAGGGTTGTACTTGGAGAATGGCCTCTGGGGAGGGGAAGTGCCTGAGAAACCTGAGGATCCTAGAATGTTTCCAAACAAAGAGCCCCTGGGTACTTTCTCCAGGGAATTCTGAAGACTTCATCTGCTCCATTAGGGCATTGAGAAGAAGCTGCACAGACAGGGCTCATGACACCAGGGACCTGCCTTATCCCAGCTGATGTTTTAATGCTCCCCTGAGGTTGGGAAATTGCCACCTGCCTCTTGGAGTCCTCACCTGTCATATTGAGTGTTAGGTATTAATCATGATCAATAGCCAGAGCTTCTTCAAAAAAGCCTGGAACAAGTTGAGTGTTCCCAGGCAGCTTTACTTGGTCTGTACTGAGGTCTGCATTCCTCCACGTCCCAGGAAGGAAGGCTCAGACATCTAATGTCTAGTTGACTCACCATCCTATATGGAGCTTTTGGCTCCCATTTTCCTCAGACCTGGAGCTCTTAGTTTAGCTGCCTGGTTCCCTGGAGATATCTCATTAGCACCTTTTACTCATCAGCTTTTTACTTCTGTTGAAGAAAAGTTGGTGGATCTTTGCTGGAATTGGTCTCCATGTGTCTGAAGCTAGGAATTGGGCTGCCGAGTAGCCTGTCTGGGGACTGTGAAGGCAGAACTTATGGTGGGCAGGGAGATTTCTCTATCTCATCCCACTTCTGTACCTGAACAACAGCAACTGGAGAAACAGAAATGGGCATGGACATTGAGTGTGAGTCTGGGCCCTTTGGCTAACATTCAAGGTTCTTTTTTGCTCTGCCCTCACCTGTTTTTCCAACTAGACCTCCATCTGTGACCCAGACCCCAACCCCAACCCCATATCAAGTGTGCCTTATTCTTACTTGAGAACCATTGCATTGGCCGTTCCCCATTTCCATCTGGTCCTTTCCAGTCATCAATCACATCCTAACTAATTACTGCTTCTCCTGGGAGTCCTTCCCTGACCCACTGGCAAGCTGAGTTGACCCTAGACCCCATACCAAGTGTACTTTATTCTTTTTTACTTCAGAGCCATTGCATTACCTGTTACCCATTTCTATCTGGTACTTTTCCTTTTATCACTCATATCCTAGCAAAGTATTGCCTCTCCTAGGAATCCTTTCCTGACCTATTAGCAAGCTAGGTGGGTGCCACCATACATTCCAAGAACCTTAAAGGTGGCTTTGTCTTGTCTTATGGACCGGACTTCTTGAGGATAGGGCTATTTGCCTGTGTTCCCAGGGCTGAAGTTAATACTAGGTTTCTGGCCTCAGAAAATACAGAATTGCATTAAAATATAAAATTGAGTTAAAATTGAAAGACAAGGCTTGGCGCCTATAGCTCAT